AGGGCCAAAAAATCGTCTTATAAGCCGGCAAATACGGTACCTTAGCCTAATTGCCACCATAAAATGGATTATGATAGTTTTTAAGTCAATATGTATGTCACCCACTTTGTAATAAACTTTGTATAAATATAAGATTGGGAAACTAAGTCAGATGCCAGTATTAGCCTATAGATGGCTAACTATATTCCGTAGGATTTAGAAATGATTTAAACATTTTTCATTTTCTAAAACACCTGTTTTTTCAGTGCCCCTGGGAAACAAAACTTTTTACCTGAAATGCAAGAGTATTCCATTAGTGGAAAATTTTCAAGTAACTAGTTTCTCAGATCCTAACACATACTCTCTTAATAAAGATTTTTCTTTACAAGAAAAATGTATTTACCTTTCATATATATAAAAGAGGTGTGTGTGTGTGCGCACGCACATGCACGTGCATCTATATGTGTGTGTGTGTGATTCTTTGGACTGTTATTCTTAATGGTACCCATGGTACGTTTTTCTTTAAAAATTGCTAAAATTTGGACTTTTTGGTCCCAAAAGTATCTCATTGTGCCTTATTAACTAGAGAGGGTAATTGGCATTGATATTATGTGAGTTATTGCTGTCTGATAATAAAATAAGTGACGTTTTTCTTTTATTATTGAGTGTTACATAACTAAATACAGCAGCCCCTTCATCAGACCAGGAAGTAAGGATAAGGGGTTTTGCTTTTACCAACTTAACCCAGAGGTCTTAGTTAGATAATAGGATTTGAAACATCTAAGTTACCTATTTCAGTGAAGATAATAAATTTTTTTCTGAAAAAATTATTTTTCTAATTATATATTAAATTTAAGCATAGCTATATTCTCAAAAATTTTACCATGTAGTTTCTTCAGGTAGTTTTGTTTTTGTTGCCTGTGTTGTATTTAAGATGACCTTATAAATGTAGTTCAAGCAATTGCCAAAAAAATTGAAACTTTCCATTTTGTGCAATAATTCTGACATTAACACTGTTTGCCAACCTGTTATCCCTTAGCCTGTTGGTGCTCTGCAGTCCTCTTCACAGCCCGTTCAGCACTCTACAACCCCTTACCCATCCCCACTCCTCACAGGCTCACCCACCCAGCAGTACTCTGTGGCACTATCCTTCTTTTCGCCTCCTGTGTTGTTTCTGTGGGTGGATGTGTGATGAAGTCTCATGAATGCGATTAATGTGATAGGATTTTTTGTGATTTTTTTTTTAAAAAGTCAGGGATACATATGAATATACTGAAAAGGTATTTCTAACATGTATTAGGAAAAAATTAATTATCTTCCCTAAAATATTTATTGGCTTATGATTATGTAGAACTTAACCTTTTCCTTCCTTTTCATAATGAAATGATTTTCAGGTTGATTATGCTAGTCTTAACATGTCTTAGCTGCTTTTCTTATTGAGGTCAGTGCAGCTGACTGCACTCCTGGGGTGGCAGCTCTCATCTGGGTGTAAGCTTCCTATTCTTTCCCCAGTGCCGTAGGCCCAATACACTTAGTACCAGTTATCAGGGTGAATTGAAGCTTACAACTACATAAGACACCCTCCTAAGTATATTTTCAAGGACGATCTCTAACAATTTAATCTGTGACTTTAAAGTAATGGCACCTCCTTTAATCCAAAGAATGCCCCAAGTTACACAGCTCCATAAGAGCTCAGACACACATGTGTTCTCGGTGTGACCTATACTTACTAAGCATATGAGACAGCGATGTAAAGAATTATACCCCCTGCATAGCCCCTAACATGAAATAGATATTCAATAAATGTGAAGTTTCCTTCCCCTAAATTTAGTCTCAACAGTCTGCATTCTTTTCCCAGAGATGTTGTTATTTCTAATTATATAGCCATCACATTTAGAAATTGCTTTCTAAATTAAATTAATTATGTCTTAAAATCACTCAACACATTTTAGACATGTTTTGTGTTATTGGGGGTATCTGTCTTTTGAGCTGGGGGCAACCTTATTTACCAGCCTTGGCGCTGAATGATTTTAAAAAAATCACTTCCAGTTGTAAAAAGTGAAATTTTGCCAGCATTGGAAAGGTTGACAACATTAAAAAGAATAGCATAAGGGCCGGCCGAGTGGCTCAGTTGTTTAAGAGTTCGCTTAAGGGTTTGAGCTCTGAGCAACAGCGGTCCGGCCCGAGCTGAGCTGCCAACAGGTGGCAGGATGGCTCAGCTAAAAAAAAAAAAAAATAGCATAAAAAGCTCAAAATGTTTTGAAAAATGGCAGATCATTGGAATAAGAAAATGACTTTTTGCCAAGATGACTCTAATGGTGATGTGTAGTTATGGTATCTCTTTTTAAAATATTTGGCCAATTACTTTGTAATTACAGCTAGTAGGTATATTTTGAAACTATTCATTGAGTTAGGAGAATAGTGCTAGATTATTTTTAGAGCAGCCATTTGTGAGGAGTAAAACCACATATCTTCAGAGTTTAAATCAGGTTCCCCTTTTTCGATCCCTTATCTTCTGCGTAGCCTTAATCTACTTTGCAAAAACCAGCATGTTATAGAAATTGCAGACATGTTAACTTGGATCTGACTACTCAATTGCTATAATTTTTAAGTAACTTTTTTCACAATTTTCCTCTTAGCAAAATGTATATATTGTTGCCAATCTGTGACTCCTTGGGGGGAGGGGAATACCATTTTAACCCCATTATTGTAATTTCAGTGATATTATCTAGACTAGTCAGAACTGGTCCTTATGCTGTTGCTGAGTCAGAAACATTTGTCAGACAACATATAAATCATAGCCTGTCTTGGCTGGGCACCATTGCCTGCTCACCAAGTAGCAAAAGCAGTGGGAAACTGTGATTTGGATTACATTTGTCTAACATCTGACTTAAGGTCCAGACTGAAAAGCACTAGGGAGGATAGACTTTATGGCCAAATTATTTGAGAGATTAGAGAGAAGACCAGGGTGGATAGATTCTAATTTTATTTAATTTCTGCTTGTATATTTGTTAGGTATGATAGGAGATACAAAGATGCATAAAACCTGAGTCTTGCCTTCTAGGAAGAGGGGCGATGGTTTAAAGTGAGGAACAGGTAGTGCTGTGCCTTCCTAGTTACCTGGTCCTTGAAATGCTTTCAGAAAATGTTAATCATATAATATATAAAAGTGTCAGCTCCATATCCTAATGTGCCTTTAATCTTCATTTAAATAAGTGGTTTTCCCTTTTTTATTATGAAACCCTACACTTTTCTGCACGTTATACATTTCCATTACATGTATTTTATAAGCTTGCAATGACAGCAGTGTAATATGTGTATCTTCCTGCCTTAGAGTTCTCATTTTCTTGCTCTTCTTTGATTAAATCATGTCTGTTTTAGATACATGATTTCCATAATATGTACTACTGCAACTCACTTTATAATGTATGAAGTATTTTTCTTTAGTGTGTTTGGTCTATGAATGGGAGGCTTACTGTTTTTACTTTCTCTTTTTTTAGCAGGACAACCTTGGTTCTCAGTTTAGCCACATGAGTCTCGCCCGCCAGCCATCTGCAGATGGTTCTGATCCTCATGCTACCATGTTCCAGTCCACTGTTGTCCTGCAGTCCCCACAGCAGTCTGGTTATATCGTGACGGCAGCCCCTCCACCACCGCCCCCACCTCCTCCCCCTCCCCCGCTGCCACCTGGGCAGCCGGTCCCTACTGCTGCCTACTCCACTTCTGGTCACCCTGTCAGCCAGCCTGTGCTCCAGCAGCAAGGATACATTCAGCAGCCCTCACCACAGGTACATCACTTCTTCATCTTGTTCCCCACCATGGAAGCCTCTCCTTTAAGATCAGCTTTCACGTTAGACAGCTTATTTTTAATTTCACATGGAAAGAATTCGTAAGACTATATAAACAGAGCTTGTCCTCATTTCCTTTTCTCTGGAGATTTTCAGGTTCATGCTAGACAACCACATGACAGGTCAACACTTCAGTTGGATAGTTAAACTATGTGATCTTTGGGTTTCCTTCTGACCCTGAGACGTTTGTTTGGTTTTAATTAGCTGAAAAGAAACACAGTAAAGTCAATGCACTATAAAAATAAAATGATGCATTTCAAGAAGAAATAGATCAGTTTGGGGAGAATTTACATCTTAACACTATTGAATTTTCCAGTGCAGGAACATGTCCTCTTTCTTCATTCACTTAAATCTTCCTTAATTTTACTCAACACGATTTTGTAGTTTTCATTATACAAGCATTACACATATTTTATTAAATATAACCCCTAAGTATTTAATGTTTGTAAATATTCTAAAGGAGATTATTTTTAAATTTCATTTTGTATTTGTTAATTTCTAATTTATAGAAACGAAATTGATTTTTGTTTGTTTATCCTGTGGCCTTTCTAAAAATTCAGTTATTCTGCTACTTTTTTGATAGACTGCTTTAGATTTCCTATATAGGAGATCGTTTCCATATACATTATCCTTTCCAATCTATATGCATATTATTTCTTTTTCTTGCCTTGTTACATAGCTAAGAGCTCCAATGTTGAATATACTCATGACACAAGAGGGGAAAGTAAAATCCCTAGAATCCATGTATTTTTTTTTTTTTTTCAGTTACAGTTGACATTCAATATATTAGTTTCTGGGGCCAGCCGAGTGGCTCAGTTGGTTAAGAACTCGCTCAAGAGTGTGAGATCTGAGAAACAGCGGTTCGAGTCCCAGCCTGAGCTGAGCTGTCAACAGGTGGCAGGATGGCTCAGTTAAAAAAAAAAAAGTATATATTAGTTTCTGGTTATTAATCTTGTGAAATGTTTTTTCTGCATCTATTGAGGTGATCATGTGATTTTTCCCCCCCTTTATTCTATTAACACAGTGAAATTACATTGACTAACTTTTGAATGTTAAACTAATCTTTCGTTTCTGGAATATATTCCACCTAGTCATGATATAGTACATTTTTTATATATGGCTAGATTCAATTTGCTAATATTTTCTGAAGGACTTTTGCATGTATATTCATGAGGCATATTGGTTTGTAGTTTGCTTGTAATGTCTTTTTTAGATGGTATAGTACCAGGATGGCACTGGCCTCAAAATGAGTTGGGTATGTTTCCCTTCTTTACTTTCTAAAGGAGTTTGTGTAAGATTGATGTTATTTCTTCATAAATGTTAGCTAGATTTCACTAATGAATCCATCTGCACCTGGATGGATTTTGTTTGTTTGTTTGTTTGTTTGTTTGTTTGTTTGTTTGTTTAAGATTTTATTGGGGAATTGGGGGAGGGAACAGCGTTAGAGAATCAGGAAAGGGGAACAGACAAGTTGCTTTCCTTTTGTTCTTCAGTATAGTTGTGGAGGACGTCGCTTCACTGGCCCATGTTGGTATTATCATTGCGCTCTTCCCAGGTAAGGCAGATTGGTTGCCAGCCTCTGGACAGCCACTCACGGCAGCTCTTGGCAGCTCACACCAGCTGCCAGCCACACACGATAGCTTATGGCAGCCCCACTGCAGCAGGGGCTGCAGCCTATACCGTCGCCGGGGACTCACAGCAGCCCAGCTCCAGGTCGAGCTGTTGTTCACCATCTTAGCTGTAGAGGGCAGCATCACTGGCCCTCTTGTGGGATCCGAACCGGGACCCTGCTGCTCATAGCTGGCGGCGTCCCAAGCCAGCTCTTAACCAACGCGTTCCTCGGCCGGCCCTCTTTTATATTCTTTTGTTTCTGCATTTAGTATTTTGTAAATATCAATTTAGTCAATGTGGTTGATTGTGTCTTTCAGATCTTCTACATTCTTAGGTAATTTCGGTCCAGTTCTAGCAATAAATGATAGTGGATTTGTTTGTCTATTTCTTCCCTTAAATTTTGTCAGTTTTTAAAGTATTTAAATCTATATTAAACAATTTATACTTACATCTTCCTGATGTATTGACTCATATCATTATGAAATATTTTTGTCTATAGTACTATTTTTTGTCTTGAAGCCTATTTTATCTGACTTTAATGTAGTGACTTCAGCGTTCTTTTGATTAGCATTTAAATGGTATGTCTTTTTCATCCTCTTATTTGTAACCTTTATATTTAAAGTGCGTCTTTTACATATAGACACATATGTCTTTTACATATAGCATATAGTTGGGTTTTGCTGTTTTATCCAGTCTGATTGGAGTGTCTAGTCCTTTTATCTTTAATATGGCTCTTGACATGGTTAAATGTAGGTGTGCCACATTGCTGTTCATTTCCATTTGTCCTATCTGTATTTTATGCCTATCTGCTTCTTTTCCTGCCTTTTGTATTATTTGAAATCTTTTAGTGTTCCATATTATTTTCGCTTTTTTTTTCTCATATTATTTTTTTTATTGCTTTTTTATCTACAGCCCTCTGAACTGTGTGTTTGCGTAGCTTTTTTAGGGACCGTGATATGTATCTTTAGCTTACCACAATCTACTTCACATTCATAGGAAACTGCAAGTAAAATATACTAGTCATGTTAGCAGTATAATTCTATTTACCCTCTCTCTGTTGTTTATGCTATTGTTGTCATATATTGCATGTATGTATTATAAAATACAGTGTTATAATTTTTCCCTTAAACATTGATGTCTTTTCTTTATTTAAGAGAAAAAAAGAATATTATTTATCCACATATGCACATACTGAAAAGTATGATAGTGGATAAGACCTAAAATGGATATACTTATTGGTTGCTGATATCTCCAAATTAAGGGATCACATATGTATTATGTCTACTGTTTCAAAGACAGAAGAATATTACAGTAAATGTAGGAGATTCTTGGCTTATAACTGATATAGAAATTCTGTCCTTGGCTGCTTTCCAAATGAAATGGACACCCTCTAAGACCTCCACAGATCTCAGTTCTTTTAGAAGTAACCCAAACAGAAGAGCAGAGCCTGAGAGAGCCCATGAGCCTAATAAAGTTAATTTACCACATACTTCTACACCACTGGATTATTTATTCTAGATCTGATCACTTTAAGAGAAATTCAAAACTGATATCAATAGCTCTGGAAGGAAAAACAAATCAAGCTACTTGTATTGGCATTTTTTCCACCTTTATTGAGGTATAATTGACAAAATTTGTATTGGCATTTTAATTTGCACTAGAAATAAGAAAAAACTTATGGAATGGAACCAGTGCAACTGTGCATTAATGTTGGAAAGGAAAAACTGACTTATTTATATACAATGATTACTGTTCAACAGTTGAATTGAATGAGCTAGCAGTGCATGTTTCAACCAAGATAAGTCTCAAAAACAATTTTAATTGCAAAATAAGTTTCATGAAGTTATAGTAGAATACCATAAATGTAAATTATTGAAATCAATAATTATGTGTGTATATAGATATATATGTGTGTGTGTGTGTGTGTGTGTGTGTGTGTGTGAAATATATAGATATACATATGTATATGAAGCTTAAAATCATTTATAGGAATGATACATTCCAGCTACAGGATAATGGGTTTTCTGTGGCACATAGAACAAAGCAACATTGGAGTAAGTCTTTAGCTATTTCAGTACTGTTTAGTTTTGTAAAAGATAGAGGAAAATCTGAAACAAATAGGGCCAAAAAATTAAAATCTACTGAATCTGATTGGTGGACATATTGGTAGGTGTCTTTTGTTATGTATACTGCATATTTGAAATTTTTTCAACAATTTTCAATTAAATTTAAAGCTAAGAAAATCAGTCTTCAGATGGTTGGTGATGGAAAGAATTATTACTCATTACACTCTGATGTTCTTCTCAGAAAAATTTTTTATTGCAAGTAGAATTGATTTTTTTTCTCTCAATACTTACCCTAGATGCCAGCCTGTTACTGTGCTCCAGGCCACTATCACTCCAGTCAACCTCAGTACCGCCCGGTCCCTTCAGTCCATTACAGTTCACACCTAAACCAGCCACTGCCACAGCCTGCCCAGCAGACAGGTGAGTAGTGTTTCTGAGGTCATTAATTCTTAACTGTGGGTATTGCTTTTTTTCATTCTGCTTTATTACAGTCTTACTAGTAAGATACCGCCACACTTAGTCTATCCAGGGTCTCAGATATGTGCATACCTGTGACTATGCAAACAAGCAAGATTAAAAGAGTGGGCAAATCTTTGCCCCTGCTAGAAAATTCCACTCTCTGGTTTATAAGCAAAAGGGTTGGGGGCCATAATGAGGAGATGGGACTGGGCAGCGCTGTGTGGTGAGTGGCCCGGTAGTTATAGTTAAAGCCTTCTCTGCAGCCTGGTAATCCACCTATGGTTGCAACAGAAGAGGGGCAAAGCAAGTTAAGATGTCTCCTCAACAGCTAACCAAAGCAGCCTAACTTTGATTGGGAACTCTGACCTAGTGAAATTTTTTTATGTCTTAGTCTCAGTAGGAATGCCTTTAAAAGGACTGATGTTCTTATGCACCTTTTTTGTGTTTTGTTTTTCAGTTTGCTAGTTGTCAGTGAAAGGTATTTTTAAACCAAATGCAATCTAAAACTAGGCATATCAAATATATTCAAACTCAAGATTATTTTCCTTCTGCCCCTTTCAGATTTTCTTTAAGCATTCAGTGAAAACAGTTGATCGCAGTGTATAAAATTACCTTACTAATTTTACTAAACTCATTTCTCTCTATGCGTCCCACCTAGATGTGTACTTCTGCCCCAGATGTTTAATAAGGTATTTTTTTTCAGCCTTTCATAACTCTAGGTGTTGAAATAGAATTTTTATTGGTTTCTTTGGATCCTTTTTAGCAGTTTGTCACCATTGGAGGGTGTTAGACTATGTCAGTGTGACTCACCAAGGCCATATCACCCTCAGCCTCCACTTAGGCAGTTTCTTGCTCTTGATATTGTGTGGAACTTTTAAGGGGTGCAGCAATTTCAGAAGGAAGACATCTACTCCGAGTAATCGGATGAGAAGTGTTCTTGCTTCTTCTCACTTGTGTGGTCTTCAGTGATCATTGTGACTTACCAACTTCCTTTACAAGATATAATTCTTACTTATCACCCCTGCATGGGGACTTCCAGGTCTATAATCTGTTACTCCTAGGAGTTGTCTTGTACTTAGTATATAGGGTCTTCCTTTTTTTGTGCTACTGGCCCTGTATTGTATGTGTGACAGATGTGCTCCCAAAGGATGTTTAGTATAAACATTAGCCATTTTAGCCAACATAGAATTTGTCCTGTCTCAAATATGACTCTTTAGTTTCAGGTTTTCATGAAGTTTAATAATACAGTCCACTTATAATATAAACTAGTATATGCTATAATTTCAAAGGACATCAAAAGTTGTTCTTTATACATAGAAACATTGGTTGTGACACTGCTCGTTAGCTTTAATACATTTTTGTTTTATTCTTATAGAAACTATTTTCTGAGTTTCCCTGGGCCTGTGACTGACTTTTCATATTGTTTTTGTCATGATTTTTTTTCTTTATAGCTAATGTCATGGTAATAAAAAAACAAATTTACCTTCACGTTCCCAATTCAAGTACCTTGTATGTGACAAATTCAAGTAGTTTGTTACTATAGCCTATTAATGAGGCAAGCAAAATCCTTTGTTCAGTATTTGTGTGAGCTTATTAGTTTTGGTTTTTATGGTTAAAATTTTGTCAAATTGCCTACAAAATTAAAACTTTTAATCACAGGTTGGACCTTTGAGCTTATACAAATACATCTCTGCAAAAAATATTCCCAGTTAATGCAAAATAGCTGAAAATGACACTCTTAATTGAGGGCCAAAATATCTGTGTGACAGATAGCATATGTTTTTCATCAGTCAAATTTTAATTTTTTTTTTTTAATGCTGGTTATGGAAGGAAATAGTAAGTTAGGTTGCATCTAGATAGTACAGGCACCAAAAGAAAACATATCTGAATAGTTGACATTGTGTTTGACTCAGAGTCAGCCATAACACTTTATATCTAGAGTTGGTCCTTCCAGTTATTTTATGTAGTATCCTCTTAACTTACAGTTTAAGTTAGTTGAATTTAATTTAGTTTCAAAAATAAAAGAGAAATAAATCCTCAAACCATCCTTATCTAAAAGGGAAAGAAATTTTTTATGGTAATTACAAGTACAGTAGGGATTTTTTAAAGTAAAATTCCGTAGTGCTAGTGACAAATATTGTGTTGGTAAAACCATTTTATGGAATTGGTAGGACGAATATTTTTAAAAGTTACAAACTAAAGACTTTTTTTATAGTTGGCTAATGGTTGGTTTTTTTGTTTTTTTATTTAATGTCAAAGCTTAGAGAAAATAATGTGCATTTATGTTTGTATGTGTACTGATAGAAAAGTAAAATGCACTGGGGAATAGACAAGGCAGTTTTTTGTTTCTGATTTTTTTTTCACAGATTTATAGCAATTTCTGTCTCAGTAATTTACATTTTTATATGTAAACATCATACTTTCTGGATTTCTTTTTCTTGTTCTTTTCCTTATACTTCCCTACATTCCACCATACCGGTCTGATTAAAATTAGAAATTGTAACATCTTATATTTTTTCTTGTCAAACAACATTTAGTCAAGCCTATAATTATTATTATTATTTTTTTTTTTTTACATAAAAGGTTGAAACTATTCAACCAAATAATGAAAGCATTGATAGATTTGGAACAATTTTTCTTCACTAAGACAGAAGTAATTTTTAAATGTTTGTCTATGAATTTAAAGAAATTTTGCCGTAAATTAACAAACCAAATTGAATCAAGTATTCTTGAACCAGGTATAGAGTATGGGCAATAAAATATAAGATTTTCTCTAATTTTTCCATTTGGAAGCAGAGAGGAAGATGGGGACATATCTCAAGGAGAAAATTCTTGTCTTCCATCATGTTTGTGCCAGAGTACCACAATAGTATTACTGATCTCCTTGACAGTAACTTCCAGTGTGCTATGGGAACTGAACTGAAATCAGTACTAACATTACTGCTAAGGAATGAATATACAAATCTTGTTTAAATGTGAAACTACCATGGTCATTCAAAACAAGGTTGAGTAAATCCCCTTCAACAGAGGAAAAAGAAATTCTGGCTACAAAAGGCTTTTCAGACAATATATCGTATAATGTGAAAGAAAACAAAATAAGAGTCAAATCCTGACAGCCCTTATTTGTTTTTAACTGATATTAGGTGTATCCCTTAAAGCCTCTGGGTTTCAGTTTATTCATTTTCACAGTAAGGGAATTTTACTGTGTTGTCTGTTGAAGCCCCTTTGTACCCTAAGATTCCATGATTCTATGTGTCGATTGTATGTGAGTCATTTCTAGTTCAGAAAGGTGGAATATTGGAGAATTGGTTTGCAATAGTTTAGCGACTTACAGTCAAGAACTGGAGTTATATAAGTAACAATTTCAGAAGATCTGGTTACTTGCCAGTTGCAATAATAAGGATCTGTTATCTTAACCCTTTATCATATAATTTACAGTTTGAATACTGTAACGTATACTACATATAAGGAGTTTGGTGTACTATAGAAAAAACTTTCCTGCAGGTAGTCATTATAGCAGAGATTTTAGGTTTGTGAGGCCCTAGCTGTTTCGTGTAGCTGCTTTCATTCTTATGACTCTTTTGAAAAGTTTGCAGTCTCATGATATATGTTTAATATTTTGTAATAATTGGCCTTGTTCCTGAGCTGTTGGATTCGGGGCCGTAGCACTGTCTGAGAGGTTTACATTTCTCACAGTGAACCGGTCTCTTTTTCAGCTGCTTCCTGGCTTCTTTTTACTCAGGTTTCCACTGCTTTTTTTTTTCTTTACTTTTTCTTTCTTTTTTTTTTTAATGCTGTATTAAGGTTTTAATATTTGCTTGTATTTTCCATTAACTGTAATGGCTTTTAATCATGCATCATACTCAGCAATAGGGATTTAAATTTAAATGACAACCTGGCTTAATGTAATTACCTTTTAAAAATTCATGAAAGCTATTGCCTTAATTTCTTTTCCAAAGCAGATTTGGATAACAGATTCAGTTTGGTTTGGAGCTTTTCTTAAAAGTTTAATGTCTCAAGTATGCCAAACTCATTAGCAAAAGTCAAATACATCTCTTTTCCTATTGCTACATAACTTTTTAGGAACATTATTATGCATTAAAGCATGCCATCAAATAAGATACCTAAAAGCATTTGAAGCTGTTTAGGCTCCGACCAAATATATAATTCAGGTTGTTTTTTTCCCCCAAACTATGATATTATGTGCATGTGGGAAGCAAAATGACTGTAAAACTAAATATCAATGCATTATATCTTCAGTCTTAGCTTTTCAAATAACTCTGAACCACGTGGTTCCAAACTCATTAAGCTTTATTACCAACAGACTATGGTAGGGTCCTGATGAACTACACCATAGGAGGAACATTTTAGGATAAACAGTCTGTGCGATGCACAGAATATTGGTCACATTGTAGGGCACAAATTTAAAAGTAACTAGGATGTAAAAGGCAAGCCTATTGGATAAGCAGGGGAGGGTGATATTGATAAAGGAATTAGCTATCTCAAATAGGGGCTCTAGGCACAAAGTCAGTTTCTTTACTGACAACTTTGACTGGAGTAATAGAAGCTTTATATTTATATTACTAGGTTGGTGGCCCTGGCTATACTTGTTATTTCATTGATTCTGTCAGCATTTCTTAGTATTGTGTGACCAGCACAGATTCAGACATTGTATAATACCTACAAATCCACCTATTTCCCTTTTCCCTTCTCCGTTAACCTGCCGCCACTGAACTCTGGAGCCAAATGTATCTGGTAAGTACCCATAGATTTCCTTGAGTTATACAGACTCTTTCATAGGACTGTCATTTAAATAGCTGTGAGCTGTAACCTCTATGTGGCTGTTTTTATTTGATTTGTTTTTTGTGTTTGTATTTGTGTATATTTTAGACACAGAAATAGGAGAGCAGAGAGTGATAGAGGAGAAAGAATAGTGAGGGTGTGCTGGCAACTGTGTCTTC